CTCTTTGTAGAATGACTCAGTAAAGAGACATGCAAATATTTTTGCCCACTATAAAACTGAGCATTTAGAAAAAATTCTAAATTTTTAATGATTAGAGGTTTGGAACAGGTCCCATATGAGGAGAGGCTAAAGAGACTGGGACTTTTCAGTTTAGAGAAGAGGAGACTGAGGGGGGATATGATAGAGGTCTATAAAATCATGAGTGGTATGGAGAGGGCCGATAAAAAAAAGTTATTTATTAGTTTCCTAAATAGAAGAACCAGAGGACACCAAATGAAATTAATGGGTAGCAGGTTTAAAACTAATAAAAGAAAGTTCTTCACACAGTGCGTAGTCAACCTGTGGAACTCCTTAGGCTGTGAAGGCTAGGACTATAATAGAGTTTAAAGAAAAGCTAGATAATTTCATGGAGGTTAGGTCCATAAAAGGCTATTAGCCAGGGGATAAAATGGTGTCCTTGGCCTCTGTTTGTCAGAGGCTGGAGAGGGATGGCAGGAGACAAATCGCTTGATCATTGTCTTCGGTCAACCCTCTCTGGGGCACCTGGTGCTGGCCACTGTCGGCAGACAGGATATTGGGCTAGACGGACCTTTGGTCTGACCCAGTACGGCCGTTCTTATGTATTCACCTGTAGGCACCTTCAAAGGACCTTCAAATCAATCAACCAAATTCAGCTCTTGCTAAAGTGAATCCAGCTTCTGCTGAAGTGAGTCAGTCAGGAGCTGTGACCATATATGGCAAGGCTGAATTTGATCCTTTACCTATGGCAGCACTTCTGTGGTGTACAGCAGGTGAGTAAGTATTATCACCCCCAGTTTACAGGTGGGAAAAGTGAGGAAGAGTCATGAAGTGACTTGGCCAAGGCCACAGAAGAATTTTGGGTCAGCGATTAATTTAAAATTTAGGAGTTTCTGACTCGCAGGTGCTGTCCTCAGACCACTGGATAATTCTGCCCAGGCCTCCTCTCACAGAAGAAGACTGCCAGATACACATCGACAATAGTTCTGGGTTCTGGTAGAGAAAAGCTTAGAAGCAGATAATCTGATTTATCCAAATGGGAATAGCCAAGGACCAGAACCAAGGCATGCCTGGCCCTCAGCACCTTTCACAATAGCCAGAACCAAGCCATTCTTTGCAATTTAGAGACAACCCTTTGTGCTTATTTTTCTTATGCTTCCAATTTTATTATTTTCTGTCCTAAGCTGGCTGCTACCCAAAACAACCCCCCCCCCCTCCCCCATGGAGGAGGGAGACAGAGAAACACTTGTATCTGAAAGCTAAATGGTTCAACTTTTGTGTCACCTGGTGAAGCCATCACAAAGAGAGGTTAATTCCCAAGAGTCTGGAGTAAACCTAGGTAAACTATGAAGCATAGGAAAAAGGTACTGCCATTAATTGCAGGCCAAACAAATGCAATGTCTCTATTTCTATACATTAGGTATTGACTCCCAAAAAGTTCTGAGTTTGTAATGCAGGGAATTCTACAGTGGAATCAATCAAAAGACCACTGAAATCAATGGGAATCTTTGCACTCATGTCAAGAACTTTGGATCAGGCCCATAGTAGCCACTGCTTTGAACATGGCACTGCAATTGCAATCTGTTAACAGACTGCAGGTTATCTTCAGATAACCCTGCTACTGGTTTTATAGTCCCCTCAAGAACACCGAACAAGTTCTACAGACCGCCAGCCTATTCTGACCACAATCAAACAACAGGTATGTTAGTCCCCCTTTTGTTTCGACGCCTGTCCTGGATGATTGCCGGTTTGACATGACAGCTGGTAAAAAAAGAAACATGCGCTGCAGCATCACTCTCAGAACTCACCGTACTCTTTGCTTAACTTGGCAGGAGTCTCTCCAGCTGCTTTGGTGACTGACCCTCTTGTGTTTAGACTCCAATTCAGCAACACATTTAAGTGCATGTGAACAGTCCCATTGCTTACGCTGGGTGGGATTTAAGCATGTGCTTAAGTGCTTCAATGGATCAGACTTTAAATCACAGAGCCTGAGCCTGCAGTCCGTAGGCAAAATTCCTGTTCAGATCAGGAGGTCTTGATCCAACCAGAACTGCAGGAATGACCCTTCCTATTACAACCAAACTAGGGGTCTGACTTACCTCTCACACGTGGGTGCTGTGTCCAACACCCACTGAGGGCAAGGCAAGAGTGCTCACTGATTCAACAAGCACTGGAATGGGCCTGGACCAGGATTGATGGTGTTACACTAGTATGAAAGGAGAGTTAGTCCCAAAATAAAATAATGAGCCTTACGGGACTTGAAAGCAAACACTGAACAGGGAAAAACTCTTGAGTCAGACTCAGACATACAATGCAGGAGTTTAGCCCATGTGCTTCTGTGGCTTTTAAATTGCCTGTCACAGCTGCAGCGTAAAGTAAAAGTGCCTGTTCATGCTGCTGGATGCTGCTCC